AACGCTTGGATCTCTGGCTCTGTGCCAGAGCTGCGCAGTGTTCTGCCACTTGGGGACCTGGTACCCTGCCCAGGTCCAATACGCTTGGCTAAGACCTAAAGTAACTTAACGTGTCTGGGAATTGAGCTGCATACCTGGATGGAAGAATATTTGAGCATGAAAAGTACTTTCTCAGTCGCCTGTTACAGGAGTATTTGCTTCAGTGTGTTGGCTAGAGCATGCTCAGATCTTCTTTTAATCATCTTCCTGGGTTAGGGCTTCTGCTTTCCTCTCTTAAATGATCTGCTACATAATGTTTAATGTAAATTTTATTGTTGTTCAATGTCAGATATCTTGTGTTCCTAGGCCACCTCTTCCAAAATCTACCTTGTGTTGTACCTGCTGATAATTGTGAATCTGGACATGCTCTGAGCAGGCATTCCGGTTATATGCTGGAAGTCATTAGTCTCATCTGATTTGGATTTTATTGCACATTTGTTTGAATGGGTAGTTCTCGTTTATTTGCCTTAAGAGAATCCTTTTGTTCAGGATAATTGTGAAGAAAATGTATTTTTCAGTTTCTTTAATCAATTAACTTAATCGTGAGTGTGTTACGGCACTAGCTGAAGTACATTAAACCTTTTCCTGTTGCAGCAGGCAGAGCCGTTGCAGAGGGCAGGGCCTGCTTCTCGCCCAGGGGCAGCTGCGGTAGAACCCAACACTCCCTACAGGAGTCTCTGTACATCGACTTGCCGTTCGCTGCATGTTGCAGCCTGGTTGGATAGGTCCAAACTGGCTGTTTCTTCAAGAGAAATTAATTTCCACACAATATTTTCCTTTAATATTGGTTTCTTGTTATATTGGACTTGAAATAAGGACTTTTTTTCATACTTCTTTGGGTACCTTTTATTTTATAAAATTGACTGCAGTACCTTGCTGTTACTGAGACTTGAGCAGACTTGGGCAGAAGAAGTCTTTAATTTCTAAAAGCAGTTTTGGTTTCATGTATGTGACTAGTGAATAGATGTCCTTGGCGGGCTCTGGAGCAAAGATGAGGTTTTGGGGAAGGCGTTTTCCTGATGTTGATGTGCAGCCGTTGTGATGTCTTTATCTCGGCTGTTCACCTCTTGACCAGCAGGACTGGTCACGGGTGCAGCCCCGCTTCTCCGAAATGGAGGTGTATTGCTTGGCCTTAGCACAGAGTGCGTCTTCTGTAGCCTGTGCTGCGGGTCTGTAGGAAATGTGAGGAGGTGGTTGTCAGACTTAATTTCCATGGAAACGCTTCACTCCAGAGCTGGCTGTTGGGAGTGTGGGATTTATGCAGATGTGTGAGCGAGTGTGTGTGCTTGCATGGAACTATTAATCCCTGGGTGCTTGTTAAGCCATTCTGCGCGTCTCCTTGTAAGTTAACGTCTTCCTTCCTTTTGAACACTTTCATAGGTGAAGAACAGAATAAAGAAGCGCTGCAGGATGTGGAAGATGAAAACCAGTGAGACACAAAGGCCAACAAGAGAACCCATCTCTGACCACCCTTCCCCTTCCCCACAAAAACCCTCAGTGTCACTCTGAGAACCACCAAATCTGACTTTTACATTGGGTCTCAGAATTTAGGTTCCTGCCCTGTTGGGTTTCTTTTATTTTTATTTTTTTTTACACAGTTTAAAAGTTCTTAAAGGCAAGAGTGAATTTCTGTGGATTTTACTGGTGCCAGCTTTTAGGTTCTTTAAGACACTAACAGGACTGCGTAAAGGCTCTTTCAGCATTACTGTATTGTCTCCTGCCAGATGTGGCCAGATGCCATCAGAAGTGGATGTTACCCCTGAAGGCCGTTAGACTTGTAGGGAAGGGATGTGTTATGGCGAGGTAGTGTGCATGTGGTGGCATTTTTCTTTCTTTTTTTTTTTTTTATAACTGTTTAAACTGAATTTTATACCAATGTTTAAACTTTAATTGGGTGTTTAGCTTGAAGTTACAGGTTGCATTGGGACATATATTGTAGTGGTTTTACTGTATAAAAACAGAAGTTTCCAAACTGCTGAAATGTTGCTGAAAATCATGGTGCTGGTAACAGTTCAACAATCCGTGGCTGCTCATTCTTGCCTATTCTTTACTTTTCCTCCAAGCAGGTTAGCATTGAAGGTGGCATTGATAAGCCTGCATGCGTGTTCAATATTTTTTCTTTCTCCCTCCCCTTTCCCCATCTCCCTTCGCTCGCTCAACCTCTTTTGTTCAGTATGTGTAACTTGAAGCTAATTTGTACTACTGGATATCTGACTGGAGCCACAGATACAGAATCTGTATTGTTCTTACTGAAACACAGCATGGAATTAACATTAAACTTAAATAAAACAAACCTAAATTAAAAGCCAAATACTACTATGACCTTCTTTTTATAATCTAGTTATTTTGGCAAGAATAACTTTCCTTTGTTGCTTGTAGTAGGAACCTTTGGAGGGGGAAGAGAGAGAGAAGTAACAGCATTGTTCTTCAGGCAGGAGAAAGTACGGTCCCAGTGTGATGTGTAAGTAGTGCAGCAGCGAGCCCAGCCTGCCTGGCATCAGGGGCAGCCAGAGGCTCTGCCCTGCTCCATATCCAGCCTTTGCCTCCCTGGATGCACAAAACCCTGTGATCTCCTTGGTGTGTTTCGCACTTGCCCCTGCGGCACTCCTCATGCAGGCAGTTATGTGGATGGAGCAAAGGGAAACGTTTTCATCTTAACGTCCGCCCTGCTCAGCTGGTGCCCTAAAAATCTCTTTCTGGGAGCAATCTCCTTGGAATATTTGTGTAGACAGATTGGGCCCAAGGGCCAAAGAGATTCAGGATCACAAATGAGGGGGGGAATCCTGTCCTCTCAAAAAGCGTAAGAAGTGTGATGAAATAATTTCTACAACAAAGACAAGGTGCGGAGGGTTTTTTTGTAAAAATTTATTTAGCGTAATCTTGAAGAGGTTATATAGTGGGATATACAGCGTTGTGTAGTACATACACTCCAGCATGTACAGCGGTCTGAGTATCTGTGCTACAGTGTATGTGGCAGCCCAGGCCTGGGGCAGTGTTTGGTAACTGCAGATGTCAGAAACCAAAAAGTTAAGAGATTGAGCCGATACGTATGTGAGTGGCAACATGTTTGGTTATAGTTTATTTAGGTCTTGCCGTAACTTGCTGCTGCATCAGGGTGTAGAGGTGGGAGGTGAAGAGTTCCTAAGGCAAGTAGAGTGCAGAGTTTGCGGTCTGGAACTCAGAAGCTGGAGCTGGGACTTGCTGTCAGCAGATATTTGAATGTGGCTGGTCACTCTGGAGCCACTTGAGTTCTTTGTTAAATGAAGGTGCTTCGTGTTAACCCCTGTGCCACAGCCTGAGCCCAGCCTGCACTCAGACCTTGTCCCTTCTGGCTCGGGGTTAGCCCTGCTTGGCAAGGTGCTTCCCTGCCAAGGAGCCAACAGCCAGGGGGTCAGGAGTGCCAGCAGCGCCGAACGAGCCAGCTCCTCCTCTTCACGGCAGTGCTGAGAGGCATTTACAGAAACTGTGGAGCTTTACTGTGGGAACTCACGCTTCCAGTTATTGCTGGCAATGAGAAACAGCCGTTTTTTCGGAAGGTGCTGCTCTGAGCCTGATGAGCTGTGGGAGCAGGAGGGGTGGTGACTCCCAGACAGGTGCAAGGTGGGAGGGAAAGCTCATGTGCACATCCTGTGGCCCAGGACTACGGGCTTCATTTCCAGCCTAGAGCGGCACAGAGTAGTAGTAATCACGGTTTGTATTACATACTTTTTTGGATGTGTGGATATGAACAAGTTCCTACTGTATAAAAATATTGTTGTAGAGCAAGAAATGGGACAGGTGACTTCAAAAACAGGTAAGTCTCTGGATCCAGATCAGTGATGAAGTTACATGATGGGTTTTTTCAGGTTAATACCATACAGTCATAAACTAAAACCAACAAATTCCAAATCTAAAACATAAAAGTTTCCACATCAACTCCATTTCTTGTAGTTTCTCTCGCATACTCAGTATTTACAGGGTTTTACTCATTTACACAATATGGCTTTAATATATTGTAACACAAAGCATCAAAACATCTTGCAGCAAAATTCTTCATAAAACATTCTTTCTGAATATATAAAGTTTGGCATTTCATTGATTTGGCTGACAAAGCAGCAGAGTTACTTGTTTTCTGATTGTGCTTTGTGATGATGACAAGCACAAATTTTGGTCGTTTCCCTCAGGGTTTAAACTCTGTTAATAGAGTCAGAGCTGCCTCTCCCTCACAGCCCAGCTGAATAGGTTTCATGAGCCCCGGTTTCACAGCCACGGCGTTGGACCCGTGTGTTTGCCGCTAAGGTAAGGAAGAGAAGGCCTTTCTTTTGGAACTTCTGTATTAAGACAAGAAAGCAAGATGCGTTTTGTGGTTTTTCTGAAAGTGCAGGTCTTTGGTAACAATAAACAAAATGAGCGAAGCAAGGAAGGCGCGGGGGTTTGCTGGTGTCCAGCCACTTCTCCAGGGTTCAGTCAGCCTGATGGAGGAAAAGGTCCTGTTGTAGTGGCACGTTTTATCATCGAGAATTCAGACGGGGAGCAACCTGCAGGAGAAGAAAGACAAGCTAGAAAGTGTGTTGAAAACAAAGATGCTGCAACAGTTGTAGCTCCTAAACATCTTTAAAGGGCACTGAGGACTGGCTCATAGAATTCATGTGGTGTGTTGCAGTATGTAGAGTTTGCTTTCCTGTGAAGTGCTGAAACTGCCGTCTCGGCAGAAATCCAAAGCAGATATTGGCAATTCCGTAAGCTAGAAGCGGCCCCGCAGTGCCTGTAATCCTATTAAACCCACCTCCCCAGGCTGAGAGGCCTGGCTTTGCTGAGGGGGTGGGGCAAAACTGGAAAAGTGCTCCTAGGGATGGTTTGAAAAGTCCAGGGAGGAAGATTGCAGGATGCATTTTGTCATGGTCCTAAGAATTTATTTGATTTGCCTCAGTTGAGCATGCTTAGAAAATGTGATCTCTGTTCCTTGCACAGCCTCTGGGCATTCCCTGGAGCACGGGATCCTTTGGCAGGGCTCTGTGGTTCTGTTCTGGGCGCTGGCACGGGGGGCACAGCGGACGCGCTGACGGCTGCTCTGAGGCTCGGCAGCAGCGCAGGGGAGCTCACCCTCTGAGCTGTGATGCTGGGAGTGAGTGCAGGCTGAATATGTGCTGGATTTATTTCTGAATAACCTTTAAGGTGACAGTCAGAGGTGTGGCTCTAGCTGACAAGCAGGAAGACTACAAAAATTCTGAGAAGGGATTTTTTTTTTTCCCCTTTGTTTTTGAATGCCTTCTTAAAATTTTATTTGCAACAGAGCATTGAAGCCTGGATCCTGGGGAGGGGGAAAAAAAAGTGATTGCTCGGACAGTCTATTTTTAAGGCTGACAGTCTATTTTAAAGGCTCTGGAGACTGCAGGAAGAGAAGGTGAGTGCACAGCTCCAGTTGGGGAAAAGGCTGGTAGAGCAGGGTGGTGCATTCAGCAAGACAATCTTGAGTCCATCTTCTAGAAACAGCTTAATTCCAGAGCCTGGGTTTGGATCTGGTGTAAGTGAACCGTTATTCCTACCCACCGCAGCCTGTACTCACCACTGTGAGATGCCCGTTCTTGGCTTTGGCGATAAGCAGTTCTGATCCCGATATAAAGTCAATTATGCCTTCCTTGCCGTGCCCACCTGTAAATTTTATGCTGTGAAAAGAGTAGGAAGAGAGCTGATGAGTACTTGCACCCTCTCTACTAACTTAGTTTTACCCTTTCCCTGTGTAAGTGGCCGACTCGCATTGATGCTCAGCTGCAACAGAGCTGTTGGTCCAGGACCTGGAGCCTTAGTTACGCCGTGTTCGGTACGTGCTGGCGGTGCACAGCTCTGCTGCTGTCGCCCCTCCGTGCTGGAGCACAGTTCTCTTCAGAACCAGCTCAGGAAAACCAAGGCAGCTCCTGCCAGGGCCTCGGCTCCGCTCACCTGCCCTGGTTGATGTTGACGTTGTTGACCTTGTCTGCCTGCATGGCTGTTTTTGTTAGGGTCTCAATGACGTGGTCGCTTTGCAGTACAACATCTCCCTGGGAGGCAAGAGACAATTGTGTATGGTCAGGGCTTTGCAGGGTCAGCACCCAAAACGATGATGCTGTAATGAACAGGGGTTAGCCCGGAAAAACACTTCTAACGAGGACCAGGCTTGGCGGAGGTGGCCGGGGCCACTGTTGTGGGTCACACTGCACCTACAGCAGTTTGTGTACGGGGGCGCAAGGGACAGCACCAGCCCCGATGGCGAACGAGTCACTGGGGAACCCCCTCTGTGAGCACATGTCAATGTAAGGGAAACACTACTGAGAGCTGGCACAAAGTCTCTTCCTCCCACCCTCCTCCAGCTGGATCTGCTCTTCGTGGCTTTAATTTCCAGAGGTGGTCAGAGACACGAGGGACGAGGCCTCCTACCTTCTGTTTGTTGTCCTCGCAGTGCACGTGCAGCACAAACAAGTTGTCGCTCAGGCTGCTGACGGAGATGCCTGCAATAGAGAACGGCCGTCTGTCACCCCACAGCACCGCAGGATCCCTGCACGGGTTTGCTGCAGAATCTCTCCCAGGAATGCGGCAACTGTTGTTCCCACGCCAAGAAACCCGACAGCTGAGCAGCGGCATGGAAGCGCTGGGCTAACGTGGGAGGTGAGGTGCAGATCCAGCCCTGCGCTGCTGCAGGTCCTCGTGACGCTCACAGTGACCGACGGGGCCTCTGAGCTCGGTGTTTCTGCTCGCCCGGCCAGCGCCGCGCTCTGCCCGGGCACTGTGAGCACCGGGCTTAGCTTCTGCAAGGACTTGCTCATACTCAATAAATGGGGGAAAAAAGGTCCTTGCCCTGAGGTAGGTGGGTAGGGATTTGCTAAGGAGCACTGTGCCATGTCTCAGGAGCATGTTTCTTCATCGTTTATTTTTGGACTTTGTTTAATATCTTGGTACTAGATACAATCTGGATGAGCTACCCAAACTGAGCCAGCGCAGCCCGAGCAGAGAGGAACGTAGGTCTCTGCCACAGTAGTGTCACACGGGAGTCAGAGAACCCCAAATGAGTGTCACCCTTGGAAACCACTTCCAGTGGTGACAGGTACAAATGCAGCAGATGGTTGCATCAGGCTACAGGGACGTGATGAGCCCCCAGCGGGCTGTGAGGAGGACTGTGAAGTGAGAGGTGTCCGACAGAGCCAAGCAGTGGCTGTAGTTCAACAGACAGACACGGCAGTTTTCTCTCTCTGCCCGTGTTCCTCCCTCTCGAAAAGTATCGAGTCCGTACCGAATATTTAGGGGGCTGAAAGCTGTAGCAGGGTCCTGAGCAGCTGTTGTGCAATAATGACACAACTC